GATACAGTTGCTGTAAGTAATGGTCGCAGGATAATTTTTTTAATAATTTAAGTTGAAATAATCATGTGATTATATTAAGCTATGAGTTTTTATTGAAATCATCGATTAATGCTTCGGAAGATCCAGTAAACTTTGTAGATGATTTCTTTAAAGGCTTCTTCATTGTCTTTTATTTGATATAAAGTGCTTCTGGATATTTCCTGTAACAGTTTTAACGAAACAGAATGATACGAATATGGATGACATGATTTTGGTGAGCTTATAATAGCTAAAACGAATATTAATAAAGATGGCAATTTAGATAAGTCTTATTTTTATGTTTAAAATTTAATATTCTCTCAGTTAACTGACTTATTTATATTTCAATAGTCACATACAAAAGAGAAGTAATTCATTTTAACATATGAAATATTATAACATGCAGGTATATTATTATATGTGCATTAATAATAGCACGAAATATTGTGGTCGAATGGTTTGTCCGTTCAAAGTTAATTAGTTGTTTAATGTCAAAATTTTTAGCACAGCGCCGGGAGGGAGGGGGTTGATTTAGACAAGCATAATAAATATAAACAACTCAAAATTAATATTTATCTCAAATAAACGTTTAATTTTATTGATATTGCGAATAATCTAAACTATATATTAAACACGAATTTTTTTGTTTTTGCTTTGAAATACAATTGATATTCGAGTAGACCATTCACGGCCATTAGTATGTCATGAAATACAAAGTGAGTAAATATCTTAAACTGTGATTTGAATTCATCAGATGGTTCAATAATTCCATCTTTCGCTCCACACCAATAGCATAAATCAACATCCTTTAATCAACATGAGTAATAATTTCGTTTAATAGTAAACACAACTAATATTTTGACGTATATGAAGTTGTTGAAAAGGTAGATTTTCATCTAAAAGAACCGGAGACCCACAGTTATAAGAAACATTTTCAAAATATTGCATAATTGTTTCAGAGACTTTATTTTAAGAACATTTTCAAAATATTGGATAATTGCTTCAGAGGCATTATTTTAAGATATATCACTAGAACATTGTACAGTAATAAAGTACGCCTATTTGGTGATTAACGTCGGGGAATATTAAAAAAAAAGATATATCACTATAAATACAACAATACTCTCCACAAAAATAAATTAGAAGTCGAATTTTTGTATTTATAAATATTTCAGATTGTTTGTTCATTTATAATTTTTTTTATCTAAATAATCCATTTTTAAGTAAGCTGTTCAATATTGATTATGGTGCGTGATTGTGATTGACCAATAAATTAATGAATTCGACATACTGCGCTGAAAATATAATGTTTAGAAAAAAATTTTTCCCAATAACTTCATACATAGAACTAAGCTTTACAAAGTTATATATCAATATTTTTTGAAGAATCTCTTCTCTTATCGGCGGATTTGACAGTCTAATCAATATAGGAACCAATCAGTTATAATTCCGGTCAAAAATGTTGATCACTTGACTAGATCTGGTGTTAAATTTGGCTAAATGGTCGACAATTTTGACCCGAATTATAGATGATGGTTTATTAGGCTGTGCAGATCCGCCGATATGTATCAATTTAAAAAAAGAACCGATCTTCAAATCGATATAAATCTTCAAAAACTGCCGGTAATTTAGTAACGTCAGTCTGTGTATAAGGTTATTGGTAAATTTTTTTTAAAAATTTTATGCAAAAAGTTTTAGAAATTTTAAAAAAATATAATGTAGCATGTCAAAATTCATTCATTTATTGGTCAATCACAATCATGAGAAAATTGAAACATTCCTGTGATTTGCGATTATAGACTTCCGGCACCATAGTTGTTCAACATCGGTGTTTTGAGCTCAGTCTCGTGGAGTAGGAAAAATTTAAACACATATAGCATAGCATATTTGATTAAATCTCATTGCCAATTAATTACATGATTACTAATCGTTTGATTAATATTCGGGGGAGCAGCTAAAGCGAATTCTGTGTTTTACATTACCCCCAAGCGTCCCCTCCTCTCCCTCATAGTAAAAAACTTTTGATAAATATATATAGGGCTCCGGAAAATTTTTATATAACGGAACAATTCGGAAATTTTTTTTCGAAAAAAAATTTTTTGAAAATTTTACTATGTAAACCACAAATCCCTCTCCCCCCCCCCCCCCCCCGGGGGGGGGAGGGGGGAATGTAAAACACAGAATCAAGTTGGTCTCGCCTAATCAAGAGGAAGGATGACATTAAACAACTATTTAACTTTGAACGGCCTTAAGTAAATAAAATAACATAGGCGTATAATATCACATATTACAATATAACAAATTTGGGCAAGCCATTGCTTTTCATGTAATTAATGAACAGTTAAATTAATTGATTATAAAAATTATGATTATTTTGGCAGGCCAATTTTTCTAAATTTAAAAAGACAAATAAATGTTTATTTTTACATCATTTTAGACTCCCGAGGTTGGCACAGCACAGAATCCTAAAACATATTAAAATTTTTTTTTTTTCAAAAAAAAAACGATTATATGTAACGATGATGATGATTTCCAAAATTATCGTACGTACGTAAGTACGATATATCGTTTTCTAAAAATTCGAAATGCACAGATGTAACACGATTTTTATTTGAATAAGCACTCACTATTCTATATGGTAAATTTTTTTTTTTCTTTTTTGATTTTTATATAAATATGGCATCGAAATGAAACGGCGATCAAGGTCAAGAAAGCACAGCAGGATACAACACGCGAGAGACACAAGATCAAGAATGAGGATACTAGAGTTTTTATAAACGCAACCAAATTTGTGAGACCATAATTTCCTTTTATAGGGGTCGATTAAAGCCAGGTGCGTTTAGTATAAACTTAGCCATCCACTTTTATAACTTAATTTGGACATCAAAAGTTCACAGAAATTTTTGTTCTAATTGGTGACCCCAAGAGTCAATTCATACAGTACGCTCATCAAATACGACCCGAATATGGCTGTGAAGTATGTTGTGCAACCTGAACTTACGACCGTAGTCTTACTTTTACATAAAGTTGATCGTGATGAATTTTTGATCAACTTTAATAATATTATAGAGGAAACTCGCATGTGACAATCTTTATAATTGTTGCGTGTAGGTTTTCTTTTAAGAAGGTAGCGCAAGATAGAAATTATATGATCAGCTTTTCTAGCTTAGGAAATGGTGAGTGAGGTCTAATAAAGTGTACTGTACGTTGGGGTGTCAATGTACTATGTAGATCAAATAGATTTATAGTCTCATAGTAAAATTTACTAGTGAATTTTTTTCGTGTAACGAAGACGATGATCTATAGTAAATGCCATGATTTTCGACGAATTTTTATTAATTTTATTAAAATTTTAAAAAAAATCGAGCTTTTTATTGAAATATAAAGTCTGGTGAGTAATTAGGTAAAATTTATAAGAAAGTTATTATGCAAAATTTTGAGGAGATACGATTTGAAATTCAAGAATTTTTAATAGTGTCTTCATAAGAAGATATCAAATTTCAAATCGTATCTCCTCAAAATTTTACATAATAAATTTCCTAGAAATTTTACCTAATTACTCAATAGACTTTATATTTTAATAAAAAGCTCAGATTTTTTTTAAAAAAGTTTTTATTAAAAAATTATTAATTTCCAATGGTTTTGATGATTTTTAATATTGGTTACACGAATTTGTATAATGCACGTGCTTGCAATGAATGCGATAGAAAGCAGGATATTTTTACAATAAATTGAACTTAGGGCGCCTTAATCAATGGGCTAAAAAAGCGTCAGTGAATAAATTTTAATTGGCGGAAAATATTTTCATAACATTGAGAATAACGCTTGAATTACATCATAATTTGCACATTGACCAAGCACTATTTAACATATTTGCTCCTTTTTTTTTGATTTCTTTTTTGTACCGGATTCATTAGTTTTTATGGGAAAATAATAATTTATCATAAATATAGCATTATGTTTATATGAATTCGGTTATATTTTTCTTGGGGACGGATTTTTTTTTTGGAGAGGAATGAGAATCGAATGCTTTTCAATTGGCATTGGATACACGAGTGCGTCTAGGTGGCATTTTGAAAAGATAAATGAATGCAGTTATTTACTCAAGGAGAAATCTATTTTAGTACTGTATATAGAAATACTGTTTTAATACATTAAAAAATTTCATATTATTTTATTGTCAATTCTACGATTTGTTAATACACTTTTTCTTATAATTGCATAATCGAATACAAGGATAATAATTAAAGCTCGAACAAACTTATTTAAACTGTATAATCTAATTTATTTGATGTCTAAAAGCTCGAACAAATGACTAATACCTAAAACGTAATAATGTTAATTGATGCTTAAAAACTTGAACAAACAACTAATTACCTCAAACAGTAATAGCAACAATTAAAAACTCGAACAAACAACTAATAACCTAAAACAGTAATAGCAACAATTGATGCTTAAAAACTCGAGCACAAACAACTAATTACCAGAACAGTAATAGTGACAATTGATGCTTAAAAACTTGAACAAAACCAATTACCAAAACCATAATAGCAAGCTTCCATTTAGACACTAGAATCTATTTATGCATAAAATTGCGTATACAATCATGCATTAATCGTAAACGATAAACAAAAGCAATAAACTGAGGGGTTTGTCAAATTTACCAACCTAATCATCCGAACTAAAATTATTGGCTAAGTTCGGTTATTGTTTCTAATCATTATTGGGTAATTCGTCTATTGTCCCGTATCGGTTTTTGTTTCGATTGTAGTTTCTCGTGATTCTCTAATTAAAAAATTATAATATCAAGTTTAGTTTTGTTTCGATAAATTAATTACTTATAGTTGGTGATTATATGATTCTTGAATATATAAAGCAACAAATTTTTTTCAAAAAATCGTTTGCTTCGATCGTCTCAATCGTTTCAATCGTCTTTCTTTATCCAATCGCTTTTCTTTATCCAATCGCTTTTCTTTATCCAATTACTTTTCTTTATCCAACCGCTTTTCTTTATCCAACCGCTTTTCTTTATCCAACCGCTTTTCTTTATCCAATCGCTTTGCTTTATCCAACCACTTTTCTTCATCCAATCGCTTTTCTTTATCCAACTGCTTTTCTTTATCCAATTGCTTTTCTTTATCCAATTGCTTTTCTTTATCCAATTGCTTTTCTTTATCCAATTGCTTTTCTTTATCCAATCGTTTTTCTTTATCTAAACATGCCAAAATTATCAAAACAAAAACTTCATATGAAGTACATGACATCTCAAAGTAATGAAATCCGACAAATTCATAAAATGATACCTCAAATTGATCCTAAATCTCGTCCAAATATCTGCAAAATCATTACTAATACATTTAATCATTCACATGAAGAGGAAATCTTTAATAATATTCGTGAAATGCCAGAACTACAAAAGAAAAATATGTTAAATCTAATTGAAACAATGCGAAATCTAAAAGGAAAGCATAAAAATGAAATTATTTCGGTCTATCTTCAAAATAAAGCCCTTGAATATATTACGGATAGTCGTAAAAATCCAGTTGTTTTAAAAGCTGAGAATACTAACCTAAAATCAGTAAACTGAAAATTATTAAGGAATAATCAAAATCTATTACATAAAATTCAGTCTGTAAGTAGTTCAAATTAGCATCTCAGAAATAAAGTAGAAAAGTGAATTTCAACTATCAGGTTATTAATACGCAAACGAAAGCAGATACCTAATAAAGAATTCAAATGCCAAATTAGCATATTATTTAAAACAAATAATCGAGAATATTTGCCCAAAATGGTTTGGCTTTTAACCAAGATATCGCAAATTGGCCAAACTTCTTTAACCGCGACTGTTGAATCATTGCGACTAGTTTACGAATTCTTAACCGGAGAATCCCTACAAAGATGGTTTACCTGGTATAAAGAAGTCTCACAAATTGAGACTGAAGCCAGAATATATAAGGTCTCACAATGTTTATGATATGGAATCCTTGTGGATGAATCAACTCACGGAGAAAGTAAATATTTTGTCATATGTATAATGTTCTGGGATCATAAAAAAAATATTCCATCAGTAATTGTGACCAATCTTGAGGATTTACATAACTGTACTGGTCAATCGGTAGCAGACAGCACTCTCAAAGCAATTACGATCCACAGGCTTGATCCAAAAAAATGTTCAACGTGGGTAACAGATAATACAGCCTATATGTCGGGAAATAAGAAAGGCGTGATCATTCAGTTTAATAAGAAGGCAAATGTAGATACAGTAAGAATCAGTTGTGGAATGCATATAATGCATATTGTTTTTTCAAATTTCGAAGAGGCTTTTGGCAAGTTACCTTCCTCGATTGGATTCTCAC